TTTAGTGAGGGGAGAGAGAGCTCACTTGAGATTAAAAAGTAAAAAGAATTATAATTAGAGCATAATATTCGAAAAGGGTTGTGCATGGCGTAATCACTAGTGCATCTGTTAAGTAGAAGAGGCAGAAAGTTCCTTGTTGGCCTGGAAGGAACAGAAAAATTAATACGACCTAAAAGCATAGAGGAATCAACATGTCCAACAATCAATTTGTGGAGGAACAGAACACCAAGAACTATCCTACGGCGAGCCAAAGAGGGCAGGTTAATAAGGAGAAGCCTACTGGAGTAGGAAGGTAATCGCAGATTAGGATCCCAGTTAAGACCACGAAGAGCAAAAAGAAGAAATTGTTTCTGGACTGACTCAATGCGATACCTACGACGTTACGAAATATGCAGTATTCAGTGAAGGTCCAAAAAAGACGAGCACCTGCGCTGAGTATATGAAGCCGTGGACGCCCTATAACGATGATTGCGATGACGACGCATTCGGGGCGAATAGGATGGCCGAGTTGTGGGAATGCCCGGGTAATGACGTATGGGCAACCCTCCCACAAGCACACGATGGTAAAGGCAGGTTGGCAAACCTTTGACGAAAGGAACAAGAAGAGGAGAGTTTGCATTGAACGACGAACGATGAACGACATGTAGAAGACGTGCATGAGAAACGACGCTCTCAGCCACGAAAAAACGCGACAGACGCAAATTCCAAGTTTATATTATTTCATCAATTACTTTATATTTTCATTTCTATTTTAAACTATATTATATTCAAATAAACTATCCGGGACTGTTATCATTTCGTTTGGAAATAACTAAATATAACCCCAGTCCCACATTAATAATCACCAAATCGAGATATCTATGAAGGTGATTGTATATTGGATTAATTTGAACTAAAGTGATTTCAAGAAGGCAATCCAAAAAGTCATGCTCTGACAAAGGAATAAGGTGAGGGGAACTATTAAAGAATGACCAAGAAATGATTGGTAAATTAAAATCCCCCACCATAACAATCAAGTCATTGTCACGCAGGCGGGAACAAACTTCTCTGATACAAGTAATATGGAGCATATAAACTTGAATATCAAAAGAAGGAGGAATATAGGAGCAGTGATATATAGGGATCGAGAAGGAGATGTTGCCTTAACGCAAATAAATTCAAGGTCTTTCGGCATATTAAGGTATATAATTTTCGACTGGATGGTGGCTTTAACTTCAATCAGTACACCACCCCCCCGGCGAACAGGTCTATCACGTCTATAGATTATGAAGCTATTCGACAAAATTTCAAAGTCAGATATGGTAGGATTAAGCCACGTCTCTGGCAATGCAATTATGTCAAATTCAAACGCAGAACTATCCCTATATAAATCAGTAAGTTTAGATGCAATACCTCTAACGTTTTGGTAATATAAGCTAAGAGATTTAGGAGAAATTTCTAATTTTTTGAACCATTGTTAGTATGCGGTATTGAAGCACTAACTGGCAGGGACACCGGAATTGGAATAGTGCGTTTTTTCTGTTTTAACTCATGAACTATCATATGCGGTGGGCAAAATGTTGGGTCACAAATAGTTTCAAAAGCTTCAAACGGAACACTAATCTTAAAAGAAGCAATTTCTCGGGGCACGGCAAAATTAAATTTAGAGATGGAAACTCTAGCAGAAGATTTGCTAGTGATGTAAGCAGCGATAGACTCACAGCTAGTATCAGCAGACAGCCTCGAAACAAATACTTGCTTCCGAAGAGCTACAACTGTAAGGGAAGGAGGGCATGCAGGTGAGTTAAAAGCAGTATCGACCATTACACCAGAGGGCAGTTCGCATTGATTCTTGCGAACGCGAGAAACAGGCCCAGATGGTTTATAAGTCGCCGCTGGCATTTCGCTGCGTGCTGGTGGCACAAAAATAGGGGTCGCTGAAACATTAATCGGCGAGGGTAAAGGAGAAGTATCAAATAGAATACCAGGAGAGGTTGAAAGAGACAGAATTGGAGAGCAGTCAATGGATTTTAGAGGAGTTGATGGGAGAGGAGCAAACAATTGAGGCGATAAAGAGGGCGCGACGGAAGGCACATTTAAAAATTGAATCTCCAACCTCGTTTTAGATGGAGAGTCAAATTAAAAAAAAAAATTTAAATAAATTATTAAAAACAACAGAGAACGCTACAATCGAGCAAGCCCGACAGTAAAATAAAAAAAAAAATTTTTTTAAAATTAAATTATTAAAAAAAGTGAATGAATTAATTAATTAAAATAATTAATTAAATTAAATTAGAATACATGTTTATGTTCAGTTTAAACAGCAAACATTTACATCACGTACCTATGCGTGTATGTATGCAGCGTAAAGTTGAACCAAAGCAGCAACAACAACAACAGCTGCGGGCAGCGCTGCCGACAGAGCTGCAGGCAGCGCATGAGCAGCGATTTTATTTATGGCTATAACTTTCTTCAGAATTGACCTATCATGATGAAATTTGGCACACGGACACATTAGTACTAACTGGATGTACCTACCAAAATTGAAGTTATAAGAAAAAACACGAATTGCGGGGGAGTGGGGGGTGTATCAGAAAAAATAAACAAACTCGATCTGCCTAGGGCTTATAGGAACCTTGATACCAATTTTGGTTATCCTAGCTCTTGTACTTACTGAGATCCTTGCGCTCATACAGACGGACGGACAGACGGACAGACAGACAGACAGACGGACATTGCTATATCGACTCGTCTTGTCAGCCTGATCAAAAATATATATACTTTGTGGGGTCTGCCACGCCTCTTTCTGCCTGTTACATACATTCGCACAAAACTAGTATACCCTTTCACCCTTTGGGTACAGGGTATACAAATGGAATTAATTAATTAATTAATTAAATTAATTTAAAAGACATGTTTATGTTCAGTTTTAACAGCATACATTTACATCACGTGCCCATGCGTGTTTATATGCGTGTATGTATGCAGCATAAAGTTAAACCAAAGCAGCAACAACAACAACAGCTGTGGGTAGCGCAGCCGGCAGAGCGGCAGAGCGGCAGGCAGCGCATGAGCAGCGATTTTATTTATGGCTATAACTTTCTTCAGAATTGACCTATGATGGCGAAACTTGGCACACGGGCACATTAGCACTAACTAACTATATCGACTCGGATTGTCACCCTGATCAAGAATATATATACTTTGTGGGGTCTGCCATGCCTCCTTCTGTGTGTTACATTCGCACAAAACTAGTATAGCCTTTTACCCTTTGGGTATAAAAGGCTATAAAAATAAACTTGACCTGCCTAGGGCTTAGGGGAACCTGGATACCAAGTTTGGTTATTCTAGCTCTTGTGCCTTCTGAGATCCTTGCACTCATACAGACGGGCGGACGGACAGACAGACTGACGGACGGACATGGCTATATGTATATAGTATAGCCTTTTACCCTTTGGGTACAGGCTATAATAAACATCCAATTAACTAATAGTACCCCTTTTAGCTTTTACATATATATGCTCGTATATTCGTGTCTGAGTAAACATGTTAGCAGTCAACCAAACACCAACATCAACAGCAGCCGCGGGCAGTGCTTGAGCAGCGCTGCAGCAGCAAATATATTTTTGGCTATAACTTCTTGTTAAATCGGTCTATCATAATGAAACTTGGCATACGGATACATAATTACTAACTGGGGTTGTCTCTGTCTCTTATAGTCTCTGAGATCCAGGTGTTCATACGGACGGACAGACGGACAGACAGACAGACAGGGCTAGATCGACTCGTCTTGTCACGCTGATCAAGAATATATATACTTTGTGGGGTCTGCCACGCCTCCTTCTGCATGTTACATTTTTCAGCTCCCGCAAACCTAATATACTTCTGTACATTTCATGTACAGAGTATAAAAACCCAATCGAACCCGAAGGATATAGATATGGTGTAGTTAGGATAGAAAAGCCTTAGAACCATCTCCTTAATGAAAAATCGCCTACGCGCCATTTATTTGCAATCATCGTTTATTGGTTTCTCCCTTTGTTACTTTCTTAGCACAGGCATTTTCCGTATGGGTGTCACTGCCACACAAGTTGCAATAAACGAGTTTGGTGTGGTGTAACCATCTCTTGAGGGGGTTTTCTTAAAAATTGTATCCATGGTTTTTTTCCTTATTGATGTATTCGTACTTCAATGCTTTATGCACTAGTGCAGCAGATTAACTAACGCTTATTATTAACTATCAAAAATATATAAACATTGCCTTTACCAAAAAACCAATGAACTATCCATGTCCAAAAGGTATTTCAACACCATGCCGATTTGGGTTTATTTAAAATGTAACTGTTTTTCCAAAAAAAAAATGTTTACAATTGGTTGACGCCTTAGCCAACAAACTGTCTGTGGTATAATATTTTGGTTGCGATTCTAAACATTTTTACTAATCGGTATTGAGCTGCATGTGATATTTCCCCATACAAGTTAATGCAATCAGGTTAGTGGATAGGATCATGCTCGTATCTAAAAATAGAATGTATTTCGATCGATTGGTTCGGATCCTGATACAACTTGTAAATATTTCTTTATGTATTGATATATTGATATATTCTCCATACAAGTTAAAATAATTGGGTTAGTGGTTTGGTTCATAAGCCAACATAGAAATATTACGTATTCGCATCAGTGGTTTGGATCCTGATACAACTTAGAATTATTTTAGTAAGTTGGAGTTGAGTTGCGTAAGATATTTAATTAGACTCGAATTGGATCTCTAGTTGGAAGTGAAATATGGTTAGATACTTTGATATTGAATATCCTTTTAATATCTACCACACCACATGGTGGGCGCCCTTGCTAAATTTGAGGAGTTTTGGTGAAAAAGGGTGGGAATCCCATATCTACACTACTTAGATGCGAACTTCGGGTTCGATTGAGTTTTGTAATCATTACTATCGTAATAAATAAAATTAAATATAAAAATATAATATATTAAATATTAAATTAAATAAAAAATTCTTTCTTACCTTTCACAATCTTTAATAGCTTGAAAACCATTTTCGGATGCTTCCTGTTGAATTTTTTCTCTTTTTTTCATTTCTGCGTCCACTTTTCGTAACTCACGCAACGCGGTTGCAACCTATTAATCAGTAATGAAAAATTAGCAAAATGTAAGTAAACATATAAACTTATAATGATATGATATTATGAATGAATAAGTGGAAAAGCTAAAGACGGGTGTCTTGACTTTGAAATACTCTGTATGTACATACTTGTAGTACTGGAGTGAAATTGATTCGCTAATAATTGTCGGTGTATTAATAAGGTTAGATATGTGCAAAACACTTGAAACCAAATATTACAAAGTCAGCTAGATTCGGAAACATAGTGCCACATTTCCATAAATGCTGACCTGACTTTTGCATCGATAACATATAATACGTCACACCGTAGCGTTCACTGCACTCAAGCTACTGCTTCCGTCAGCCGTCTACGCTACCGCCGTCTTCACTGCTGCCTTCCGCAACCGCTGGCACGCAGAATTGACCAACTTCGATTAGATATTAAATAATACTGCTACTAGTTTATGTGATAGGAGCAAAATTCTGATTCTAGGAGAATCTGGACACCAATTTTGGTTATTCCAGCTGTTATCGTTTTTTAGATTCTTGCGGTCATCCAGACTAATGGACGGAAATGCGGACAGACGAAAAGACAGACATGTCTAGATGAATTCGTCTCGTCCTGCTGATTATGAAATCATATACATACTTTATGGGGTCAGAGATGCCTCCTTCTACCTGTTACATACTTGGTACGAAACTAATATGACCTTTTTACCCTACGGGCAGGTATTGCCCGTTTTTGCTGGCTCAGTATTTGTGCTTACAAATATACGACTGGAAGCAGGCCCTTGGCACGGTCATGTCTCTGCCTTGCGGTGCTGACTAATGGTGGTCGGGCGAGAGCTGAAAACTCTATAAAATTTTCCCCAATCCAAAGCGGAACAGCTTAGGCCGATGGATGCGTGGCTGAGGGGGTGCTCAGTCTCTACTATGCGAACTCGGGATACCTGCCGACCTCCAGTTTAAATCAGGCTTCCCGTGGTACTCGGGCTTTGCCACGGGTGACCCAACCCTTCCCGACTACTCGTGGGACCAACATGAAACCAGAAATTAAAAGACAAAATAAACTAAAACAAAACAATGAGACCGGAACTCGCCATAAGCCGGACGGGACCTCAAATCCCTCTAACCAGATGGTCATAGATTTGACTGTCGCCAGGATGGGAACTCCTAGCAGCTCCCATCCCATTGCTGCCAGTGCAGGTGGAGACAATCCGACAAGCCAATCGGTTGTCTCAGAATCTGGGGAGCATCAGACCCCCTCCACTTCGAAGGCGAAGCAGCTAAGCCAAGCTGCCAAGCCAGCAGTAGATTTGGAGGAGGCTGGTAGCTCCGCAGAGCCAGAAACTTCGGCAAGGCTACCACCAAAAACAAAAACGTCGTTTCAAGACAAGAGACGCGCAGCAGACATACTCCAAAAAAACCACTCCACCCCCGAGATGTCACCAGACGGTCGAAGGATGGTGAAATGGGCGAAGAAAATCTTACCGGATTTCAAGCCAGCTCCGGTAAGAAGAAATAAAAATGCCCCGAAAAGGCAGAGGTCGGCAGAAGATACGCCGCCACAACCAGCGAAAAGAACACGACCTCCGCAGCCTCTGCATCGAACCTTCGCAGAAGTGGCGAAGGATAAGATCCTCATTGGTGTCCTTGACACGGGCAGCAAAGATGGTCTTATCCCGAGACACCGATGGGCAGGAGTCGAAAACGAGCTGCAAGGTCGGTTTCTGACGGACCTGGCAACGAGTGGAGGACCACCACCTATATGCGACGATGCAGGATGGCATCAAGGCAGGGTCAAGGCCATCGCTTGTCATGACAAGCGGTCGGCCGAAGCCTATAAGAAATCTATTGCAGCACTCGGAGAAGTGTATCCAGGTGCAAAATTGGTTGCGGTGGACTGGCGCGACATACCCAGTAGACCACGTGCCAGGGTCAGGGTATCGGCCAAACCAGAAAAGCCAGAAGAGATCCTGAAGGTGTTTCAGATCTGCAACCCTAGCATGAAAACGGACGACTGGAGCGTGGTCAAGGTAGAGGAGGCGGAAGGGACCACGCGCCAGATCGTACTCGTTATCAATAAGGAATCGGTGGACGAGCTGGCAAGATGTGGAAATTTGGCCAGGTATGGCTACAAATCGGTAGCCATACGTGTCTACCGAGGAGATACAGCGAGTGGCAAGTCCACCACACAAAGCGCGGAACCAGCAGACGCAGAACCGGTCGTTCCAGGCAGTCCTGTAACAGAGGTCGCGTCGGATGATGAGGATATCCTTGAAGGATATTCCTCCGAAACCTCCGAACTGGCAAAAGGGTTCGCTACTTTAGGCCACGAGGATGAGGACTTCATCCTAGACGACGACGAGGCCGATAGGACAGTGGTGGAGATGGAGGTAGATGCCCTTGAGGTTTCTACAGATTAACCTCCACCACTGCAAAGCAGCAACAGCTGCCCTAATACATCGTCTGAGCAAAGACGACATCGACGTAGTCCTCATTCAGGAACCTTGGGTCCGTAGGGACAAGGTTTCTGGACTGGGGACGAAGGAGTATAAGCTGATCACAGCGAAGAGCTCAGGCAAGACCAGAACCTGCATTTTAATCAAGAAAAACATAAACATTTTTCTGCTATCCAATTTCAGTAATGAAGATAACACAGCTGCATGCATTGAGGCTAAGCCAAAGCCTCTAAGAATATGCTCAGCCTATATGGCTTACGAGGAAGCTAACCCTCCACCTCTGTTGACAAGACAGATAATAGAGGACAGCAGGCAGAACAACATAGATCTGCTCATAGGATGCGATGCCAACGCTCATCACACTCAGTGGGGTAGCACAGATACCAATGTACGGGGTGAGTCCATTTTTAACTACATCCTGTCTACTAACATACTTTTATGTCAAGAGTCTTTAGAGCTGCTTCTAGGCACCCATTTTCCCAGCTCTACAAGCATCAAACCAACCAGCCATTCAGCAAGCGCAGGTCCATCTCAAACGCCACCCTATCTTCTATCTGAAAATAATATTAGATGGGTAATAAAAAGCTTCAAGCCCTATAAGTCTGCAGGGCCGGATAATATCATTCCGGCGCAGCTAATTCACGCAGGAAATACTGTCATCAGATGGCTGGCAGATATTTTTCACAAGATCTTCCTGACAAGGAATATCCCAGAAGCTTGGCTTAGATCAAGAGTGGTCTTCATACCCAAAGCAGGTAAAGCCTCGCACACTACCCCGAAAGATTTCAGACCGATAAGTCTCTCATCTTTTCTATTAAAGACATTCGAGAGATTAATGGGTCTCTATTTAAGAAGCAAGATCCCCCTCTCAGAGCTTTCAAGCTCTCAACACGCATACTGCAAAGGCAGATCTACAGAAACGGCACTCCATGCTGTCACTTCGGGCATCGAAAAGGCTCTCAAAGTCAAACATTATACACTAATCGCCTTCCTAGACATAGAAGGTGCTTTCAACAATGTGTCTCCGAGCGCCATCACAAGCTTACTCACCGATCTAGGGATGGACAACTCCATTGTGGAACTGGTAAGACAGCTTCTTACTAGGCGGTCCATCAAGTCTACACTGGGGCTGTCCACGGTATCCAGATATGTGAGTGGCGGAACGCCTCAGGGCGGTGTGCCCTCACCCTTCTTATGGAACGTGGCGGTTAACTCACTCCTACGATCCTTAGAAGGGATAGGGGGATGCCGCGCGATAGCCTACGCAGATGACGTGACCATTTCCTTCTCGGGTGAATTTCCTCAAACTTTGTGCGAACGCATCACTGATGCATTAAGCACACTTTCAACTTGGGCAACGTCAAGTGGCCTAAGTGTAAACCCCAGCAAAACTGAGCTGGTATTATTCACGAGGAAATACAAAATCCCATCTCTTCGTCCCCCCTATGTGGTCCACTGGCTATATACTGCAATAATCACACCCATACTTTTATATGGTGTCTCCATATGGTGGCCATCACTTACGAAAAACTCATCTCTTCAGAGACTTAACAAAGTTCAGCGACAGGCTGAACTAACGATCTCGGGCGCCCTACGTACTACTCCAAATGATGCACTATATGCAATTCTGGGAATACTCCCAATACATCTCATGGGAAAAATGAACGCCACGCTGGCGGCTCTTCGCATGAGAGAAACCATCCAGTGGTCAGAAGAATGCTTTGGCCATGCCAAAATTCTGAGAGGAAATGACACTATCCCATCAGTCACTGACCACTGCATCGCAGAGGAGTATCCACATACTCCATTCCACACCATCATTCCCTCTAGGGAAGATTGGAACTTCGGCCCGCCAGGCCCAACCAATTCCATCAAAATATATACAGACGGTTCTAAGCTGGATAACCGCGTAGGCGGGGGTGTCTTCTGCGAAGAACTCGGCATCAGAAAAGCCTTCAGGCTACCGGATCACTGCAGTGTGTTCCAGGCGGAAATCATAGCCATTCAAGAAGCTCTTCTTATACTGCCAAGCCCAGCCACACATACCAGAGAAATCTGCATATACTCGGATAGCCAAGCGGCTATAAAATCCCTTAATGCCATCACGTCGAACTCGACGTCAGTACAGAACTGTCGCAAATCTCTTCACGACATGGCAACACAGCTCTCTATATACCTCATTTGGGTCCCAGGCCATAGGGGTATCGAGGGAAACTGCATAGCCGATGAGCTGGCAAGACACGGTACCACCGCCTCCCTCCTTCCAGACAAGGAGAGCGTCGGTACACCGATGGCCAGCTGTAAACTGTCAGTCCGAAACCACTTTGACTTGGTCGCCAATCAAATGTGGACCACCGACACTGACTCCTGTAGAATCACACGCCAAACATGGCCAACCCTCAACAAGAGACGATCTTCTGAACTCTGCAAACTGAGCAGAAGCCAATGCTCAGTTGTAATCAGAGCCATCACAGGGCACTGGCTGGTGGGCACCCATGCCGCCAGACTAGGACTCTACCATAACGATTTCTGCAGAAGCTGCAGAGACGTGGAAG